AATTTTGAAATTATATTACTATAATAAATAATGCATACATATATTTTTTAATCCTTCTGTCAGTTAATCCTGAATACATGAAGCCTTTTTCTCTAAAAACAGCATGAACCCTGTCAGGATGGCTACTTTTGTTTTTCCATCCATCCATCTTCTAACTCACTTAATCCCAAGTGGGGTCATGAGGGGTACTGGTGTCTATTTCCAGCTGTCAATGGGCGAGAGGCAGGGTATACCCGGGACAGGTCGCCAGTCCATTGCAGGGCAACAACCATTCATGCACACACTCACACCTAAGGGGACTTTAGAGAAGCCAATTAACCTACAGTCATGTTTTGAGACTGTGGACAGAGTACCTGGAGAGAACCCATGCATACTCAGGGAGAACATGCAAACTCCGTGCAGAAAGACCCTGGGCCAGGAATCGAACCGAGAACCTTCTTGCTGCAAGGCAGTAGTGTTACCCACTGCTTCACTGAGCAGCCCTACTTTTGTTTTTTCTTTACCATTTTTGGACATTTTTACATTTGACCTCAAATATGAATGAAGATGCCTATTAGATTTTTTTTTCATTTTTTCACAAGACATAATGGACAGACAAAAGTTAGACTGTGTTGTAATGTTATTTTTATTTGGCTTGACAAGACAATACATGATGATTTAAAGGTTAAAGCTGAAGATGGACACATGGATGGTTGATCTAATTTTTTTTATGCAGTAAACATAACTAAAATATTGGTCTCAAAATACAAATATTATTGTAGGAGAATGATATTTGTCCTTGAATATGAGCTTGTTTTCTTTAAAGGGCCAGAATTTTTCACTTAATCCCATTTTCTTGACATATGTTTGTTGAGAAAGCTAACTGGTAACTTTAAAATTTATTTTTGACATATTTTGACATGCATAGTAAAACTGATTAAACAGCCTTTGTGTTATAATCTGAGGATATATCTTACCTTAATACAAGCATCTATCTCAGAAACTTTCTTTTTTTTAAAAAGGAAAAAAAAAAGAAGAATGACTACTGTTTTGCAGGAGTTGCTGGAGTACCTTATTGGAAATATTCAGAAGGGTTGGTCAAGCTTTCCAAACAGTTTTTAGGTTGTATTTTCCTCTGATCTGAACCCTCCCTGCAGCCCTGTCCGAAGATTACCTGACATATTGAAACGGTTACAGTATTGACAATTCACTGTGTTTGAAGAACCAACAAAGACTCTCTACCTTTAGGAAATTTGCAGTTTAGCTTGGAAAATACTTCAAACAGTAAGAAGACGTCAGGAAGATGATGGCTACAGGTGCTCGCAGATAGCATTAATGGGATTGATGCCTCTATTTTTTGCAATATGAGCTTTGTGTGCCTTATCTACTCAACAACAGTCTGTAGAGGATTGCTGCAGAGCAATAAGTTCCTCCTTATGTTCTATTATCCGATGGATTCCACAAAAGTCCATCTACGTAGATTCTTTAGGAAGAGTTATATAAAACAAATGGAGCGCTCTTACATTTCCGTAAACATCTTTTATATAAAAGCATCTAATAAAATACTAATTCTAAAGTCATATTTGGAGATAGCTGTGTGGAGAATCAGCACACAACTACCTGCTTCTGTGATTGTTTATCTGAGAAGGAAACAATAGAAGCAGCTTATGAAAAAAAAAAAAAGCACGACACTAATGTATTTTTTTTTTTTAGCATGGTCACATTTTAATAGAAAAACTAGTGAAGGCTGACATTTTCCACCAAAGTCAGTGAAGTTGATGTAACTGAGCAGCAACTGTGTAACAGTGACACCTGTCATCACAAAAACAAAGAAATAGGGATTTAATGTAGCCCAGGGACCACTGAGAGTCAAAACATGTCAGGATAGGAAGCTTATTATAATGTAGATTTTATTACATTATTGTATTTCTTTAACCATCACAGAAGCTGCACCAGATTTATTTTCAGCAGATTCTAAGGCGCCATCTACTGGTTGCTTAATATCCAGCACATATTTAGATGATACTGCAACATAACCCATAGCAACACAATCTAAGGATACATACAGCTGCATTTATCCCATATTATATTAAAGGTTAATTTGAATAACTTATTTCTAAAAGGGAAACTTGCATATGGTCAACTTTTGGGTTCTTTTAAAATAGTGATGGGTGAGGGTTGAATTACAATCAGATCAGATCCTCTTGTTAATAGAAAAAAAAAATGATCAGGGTAGTCTTTTATTTTATTCATTTGATTAGGTTCAAACCATCTCATGAGAATGCCTGTTTTTTGCTACACCAACAGATAGATGATAGAATAGATAGAATAAAATTATCAAAGGTATGTAGGATTTTGCTATAGATACTTTTGGGACTGAAGCTTCCTCTGGAAAGACCATGAACACAGAGGTAAACTCTCTTCTAGTTGGCAGCTTCACTATTGTGTTTTTTTGTTTTCTCCGTAAACAAAGAGTTATTAATACTCCTTCACCTGTACTTCACATAAAACTGCCCCTTTAGTGGGTTTACATCCAAACAAGGGGTTCACCAGCTCTTGCACTGCCTCTTTGTTCACATTTTCTTAAAAACAAAAAAAAGTATTTAAAAGTACAATAAAGATGTGATATGGGCATTCAGTGCTTGTTTTGAATACATAAATGTGGCATCAGGCAGAGGTGAGATGATAGTCATTAAATCAAAGAATGGTATTTATGGCAGTGTGAGCAGGTCTGAAGCTCTGCTCCAAAATTAAATGAGTATTTCTATAAAGTTTGTAAGCAGAACAGAGGGTCACCAGTTACTGTGGAACCTTAAAAAGACGTTAAGCACCCTTGGGGGCCTTCAGGGGAGCTCGGTACCAATAGTCAGGGCAGGCAAAATCTGGGGACCCCGAGAGGATCAACTCAACTTTAAAACCAGATCAACGATCAACTTTGAACCAGAGACTCAACAACAGGAAAGTTGCATTGAAAGTGCCTGACGGAGCCCTTCCCCATTCTCTCATATATACCCCGTTTCTCACTGGCAAAAAAACCTGTTGAAACCTGAAAATAATCAGTTTGTATTGGCAGTAGGAAGAGCTCACTGACCAGTAGGGCTGGGTATTTTCACCAAAGTCCTGAATCGATTCAATTTTGATTCATACAGTTCTAAATCGATTCGATCTGTTTTTACAATTATGAAAGTGGTTCAACTGTGTTTCAAAATACTCATGTATTTTATTTTTTCCTATCATATTAAACAGAAAGTGCAAACTTGCAAATTGGGCAGTTTAAATTTGAGATGTGAACAAAAATGTCTCAAAAGATCAAACTTTGTGAAAAGTGAAAAAGTGAAGCCTCACTTGAGCAAGCAGGCATGACACAGCAGACATGCATGAGCTGCATTATCTCCACTGTACAAACCATATGTGCAGTGTTGTCTGTAACAACTACAGGGTGTTTGCTGGTCAGCCCCCATTTGTTGATGTCTTCAGTCAACCTACATCTGGCTTGAAGTCATCTTGAGTGCATCTTTCCTGCTCATTTGAATGTGAACGTAACGCACGTCACTATAAAACTAAACGATCTCATTCCCTAGACATCGATTTTGCAAAAATGTATAGGAATCTATTCAAAATCGATTTTTTTTTTTTTTACCCAGCCCTACTGACTAGTGTCACACGTTTGGCAAGCGACCCGGGTTAAAATCGCATTCAAATGGCACAGCTTCAATCAGCAAGCAGTGGGAACAGCTAATTTACGTGATCCGATAGACGGAAACGTACAGACATCAACACACTGCGCCAATCATGTCTGATCCAACAAGCCAAAATAACTGTTTACATTCGATAAACATGGTGCAGCACTGGTGAGAGGGATTCAGACAGATAAAGGAGCAAAATAACTAATAACACAGACTACGTCCTGGCTTCCTCACATATTGCTCTCCATTGTTTACCTTCCAGTCTGTCGCACTGGTGACATCATTAGCCATGTTTTTTTTTTCCACAATGGGAAGTGAGCCTAATGCAGATTGTTAGACGGTTGACCCGTGTTTGAAAAACCTGCGTTAAACTGCTAATTTCAGAGAGAAAGAGGCCATAAAGTGTTGTGTTCTTAAGTAAACAAACAGAAGCACAACTGTTTGTTTACTTAAGATGAGACTGTGCCAATGCTTTCTTACCAAAAAATAGGACCTCTTAGACCTTTATTTCGAATGCCCTTCAGCAAACGTTTCCTTTTATTTAAAAAAAAAAAAATCTTTTTACTGTTCAAGTCTTTTTTTCCTCCCTTGTTAAACTACAGTGCTTGTAACATATTTTCTGATTAGTAGATGGCCTGTAAATAGGCAGCATACAATTTTTCCTTCCATTCAACTTGCCATTAATATCTTTTAAAAGAGCATGAGTCATAGATACAATTTTTCATTTTTTGAGCTGAATTAGTAAAATAATTTTTCGTGGTACTTATTTTAGATCCGCCTGCATGTAGAAAACACCATGGTGCAACAGATGAATTTTTTACGTTCAGATCCACTGTGAGTAAATTTCTCCAATGTGAGATCAATAAAGTTAATCAATCAATAGGAAACAATAAAAACTACAAAGTTAAGATTATGTTACTAATTTATTACAGTTCATATATCTTATAAAAACAAATTCATTATTCATATACAACTCCTTGGCTCAACAAAGATCACGTCTCAACAGGTAAATATTTCCACATGGGAGATCATCAGCATGGTGGAATAGCAGTACTGGTTTACAACAAACCCAACCATCCAATCAAGGTTAAATACCTCATTCTGCAAGATTTAAGTACATAATGAATTTATTCTTAAAAGATTTTAATTTCTTGTATTCTGAGCCTTCATTACAAACCTTTCTTTCCGTGGCATTCTAACTCCCAATCAAAAGGTTTGTTTATGACAATCAAAGCTATGCATCAAGTTTCTATTTATCTCAAACTGGTAATTCTCTAAGATTTTCCAAACACTGGCCCTACGGCTTCAGCGTAGGATGCTATAGTTTTTTTTTTCCCCCTTATGAAAGCACTAATATCAGGCACTATAGGTCTGTTCTGTTACGGAATGATGGGCAACCTGAATGTCCAGTTCAGTTTACGGATGCTGCATATTTTTCAATGAACATAAACCAGACCCCTCCACAAAAGAAAAATGGATATGAATCCAATAAACACAAAATACATCAACAGGGTATGTAACATACTGAGTCAGACAGTACACTGTTGGAGAATGAGGTCAGGGTTTTATCACAATAAAAGCTGTCAGTTCATCCTATTAAACGGTTCTTAAAAAAAAACAGTTTGATATAAACCAGAGGAAAAAGAAAAAACACAAAGAGTTCTTAAGACTGGAGGAGAGGAACACTGGTAGGGTAGTGATCCAGCAGGTTCCTACCAGGTGATTTCTCTTGAATGACATTGACCTTATGTGGAGGAGTTGAAAAACATCACGGAACAATGATAGAAATTTTGTTCTATTTTCTATGTGTTCTGAGGGCCAGGCAGGTGAGGAGTACATCTGCCGTTGCAGGTCATGCTTCACTGAGTACCTGTAAAAGATTAAATCAGTCAAAAGTAGCAAAAAACTATAAAATTCATGAAATGCATTTTATTACATACAACTTGTAAAATTATCTATATACTAGATCTTTTCACATATAGAATATAATTTCAAATGTGTAAATATAATACTGTTAATGTTGAGATCAAACTGATTGTTAGATGCCATTATATTTATACAGGAATAAGTAACTAATATAATGCTATTTTAATTCTCTTAGAAATTATTTTAATGCCACCAACAAGTAAACATGACTCTCATACATACATACACATATGTCATGAATTCCACGCTTTCTAGCCACATTTATTGAAATGTGCATTTTCCCATTCTCTAGCCTTTTCTCCGCTTCAGGCTTCTTTACCGAACATACGGATTCACGATCAACCGGAAGCAGTTCCGAGCAAATATATCACCATATAATATATCTGATTAAATAGTTTTTAGAAACTTTTTTTTTTATAAAGCATTTTAAATACCATGATAATCCCATTTAATGAATTTCAATGTAAATTAAGGCCTTAATTTAAAAAAATATATCATTTAATAACTTTTAATGATTTTTAATGACCTGTGGAAACCTTGTTATAAGTAAATTTGACTAAATTGCTCTTAGATGTTATCTAATTATTAAATGGAGCCCAGTCATGTGTAATTCAATCTTAGGTCAAAGATGAAGTTGTTTAAATCCGGTTCAGGTAACATCTAACATCTTACAAATTGCCATTCAATCTATGAAATAGAGACAACGTCTTGCAAACCAATATATGCTCGTCTATATAAAGTGAGATACCAGGCAAGGAGAGGATTCATTAAAACAGTCTGGAGGCCCACGGTAACTATGGAGGAGCTGCAGAGAATCAAAGCTTAGGTGGACAAATATGATGCCTAGAGAGCCATCAGTCTTGCTCTTCACAATTTTGCTTAGATTCTTTATAGAAGAGCAGAAAATAATTGTTGTAGGGAGCTATAAGGAGACCAGTCGGCAGCGTCCCACAAAGCAGGACACAGCAAACATAGAGAAATGTGCTCTGGTCAGATGCGATCAATATTTAACCTTTGGGCCAAAATGCAAAACACTGAGGCAAAACGTAAAGCTTATCACCCCGAACACACCAGTCCCTGCAGTGAGACATGGCCTTAGATGGGGACAGAGGTTAAACTTTGATGTTTAAACACAGAACTGGAGCGGCAGTTCTTATCTGCAAGAATGCTCCAATCAAAGACCAATTCTAAATCCAACAGAAAATCTGTAATAAGATTGGAAAGTTTGTGATTATAGTCCATCTCTTAGAAACCGTGCATAATTTTCCTTTATTAGAATTATCCATCAGTTTGAGTCAATCTGTTGCATAAATCCAAGTAAAACATAAAAGCTTCTAATATTCCCAAAATGTGCATAATTTGAGGAAAATGAATCCGTCAACAACTGTTCTTCTTGTTTACTTCCATCTTAAGACTCACCTTTCTGGCAAACTCAGGGAGGACGAAGGATGCTTTGTGAATATCAGGGTTGTAATACTTAAGGTTCAGACTTTCCATGTCTTCTTTAGTGAGGGCTTTCACTGGTTCCCTGAAGTTTGTTTCCTGAAAGTCAATAAGTTATGGAACAATTTTAGAATAAGTCAGCCTGTACAAAGACTCAGGAAGTAATGACTAACGGGAACAGAGAGTGATGCTTACAGGATTTTTACTGCAAAGCATAAATCCAATTTGGCCACTGGGATAAGTGGGGATGGTGCTGTAAGCATAGTCCACCACAGGGAAAAGTGTCTTGCAGAAGGTTTGCATCTCCTTTATCAGCTCCAAATGGAGCCATTGACACTCTCCTGGTAAATGAAACAAAGGAGAAATGAAATGACAGCGTGCCCCGCCTAAAGCTAAGCTAACATCATGGTATCTGTCCTGTAGTCAGAATACATTAGAAGGCAGAAAAGGGAAAATGCGATATAATAAAAGAATAATCTGACTGCATAAAAACTTAAACCATTTCAAGCTTTTTAATTTTGTTCGATCATTACCGCAAACTTCAATCTAATCCAATGTACTTTTATAAGATTATGTAACAGAATGTTAAAAAGAAGCTCAATCTCCACATCATCATGCTGCCTCCACTCTGTATTCGTGAGGGGACAATGTGTCCAGGGTGGAAAGTCTTATATTACCTGATGGTATCATGAGCATGTTGCATGTAGACAGGAAAAAAAAGCTGTTATCTACCAGATTAGCTGCAGATTGCAAACATGACTGCTTACAGTTTTCTCCTTCCCCTCTTCTATAAAGGGCAATGCTTTTCTTTAAAACTCCCAAGACATTCCAAGATGTCTTAGCAACAGTTATTTTAAAACTTAATTACACATAGCTGCACAGTAAACTCTTAATCAGAAGACATTTAAAAGTGACTTGATGCGTTTAAAAGGGTATTGATGCAAAGGGGAAGCTATGCCACTGCCTCAGAATTGTATTCATAAAAACAAAGATGCCATGGTTACTGACATCTTCAACTGCCCATTTACATGTTTGCTTATCTTGAAGTTAATTTCACTAAAATAGCTTGAATTATTGATAACGTGAAAAACTTAACTGTGAAAAACTTTTCTTCAGTCATCACTTTAAATAAAAGCTGGGCTAAACACACACCTACCCTGGGAGCAAATGATGCCGCCGCTTCTCAAAGCTGCTTTCATAAGCTGATAGTACGACTCCTTAAACAGACTCTCAGCAGGTCCTGTAACACAAGAGCACCAAACTCAAAATCAGGGTATAGCCTCCAAAGTGGAACATAAACAGAAACAAGTGGAAAAAATGTCACCCACCGACTGGATCTGAGGAGTCGGTTATAATGATGTCAAAGGCATCCTGGTTTTTCTTCATGAATTCAAAGCCATCGCCAACGTGGAGGGTGAGCTTGGGACTGAAAAATCCTTTGGCCATTCCTGGGAGGTACTTTTTTGATACTTCGATGACATCCTACACAGGAGAGAAGGTCAGCCTTCATGAGATTTCTCAGAGATTGTTTCGATGTGGATGATACTCACAAAAAGGCTAAAACATTTCCTGATAACCTTCTTCTTTCTACCCTTAGACTAATTGTTTTGTATTTTTTTGTTTGCTTTTGGCCTGAGGAGTTGATCTTCCCAGTTTCTCAAGTTATTATAGGGCTTACCCTCAGAGTAATAGTTCTTGTTCAAACCTCTTAGAGGAGTGTTTATCTAGTGCAGGGGTCGGCAACACGTGGCTCTTTAGTGCCCCCTTGCGGCTCCCTGGAGCTTTTTCAAAAAATTTATCAAAATCTATTTTTTTTGTTTTTGTTTTAATATGGTGTGCAGGAGGTCAAAGACAAATTATGTTTTCCAATGCTGTAAACATTTGTATTATAAATACATTTATACAATAATTTGCATCATAGCCATGGAGATCAGTGGTCATAACTTTCAACCAGTGCGGCGCGGTGACAGGCCAGCAAAGCTGCAGGTGTGTCTCGGACCATGGATCCAGAAGGGAAAAGAGGAAGGTAGCTGATGAGAAAAGAGGATTCAAAAAATAGAGCGAATCATTTGCTTTCATTATTAATGTGGAAGGATTGCCTGCATTTTTGCTTTGTAATGAGAGGTTGTCAACAAAAAACAATTGGAAAGGCATTTCCAGAGAAGGCTAAATATCCAGCCAACCATCAATCTGGGAGTGAGAGAAAAAGTGCGAATGCAGAACTTCTGGGTAAATTAGAGGAGCACAAAGATAGATTTAAGAAGTGGATTACATCTCCAAACTCCACTACTGATGCTACATAGTTTTGTTGCAAGGATGGAAAAACATCCACAGATCAAACAGGTAGAGCTCTGATGCAGGGATGGGAACTTTCTTCCATTTTTTCCCCAAATCCTAAAAACATAAAATCACACCAAGGAACACTGGTGACGGAGGATGTGGGATTTCAGGGTTAGAGAGCTCTGTTCTGATGGATGTCAGTTCCTGCTTGGTTCCCAATGACTCAATCAACTCCTCCCAACAGAAACACATCCACCATAGAAGGATTCATTTATCGTGTTTCCATAATTTCATCAATGCAACAAAACTGTGAGAGTGTTCACTGCTCCTCATGCTGTGACATTTGCCGCAGGATAAACATTTAATCATGAATGCTTACGGTAAGCCCACAGGCTTTAGAGCCAGTGTTGCCTTACGAGGCTTATATAAGACCTTTACATTTTTGCGGCTCCAGAAAGATTTTTTATTCTTTTTGGTCCAATACGGCTCTTTGAGCAGTTTGGGTTGCCGATCCCCGGCCTAGAGGGTTACAACAGTGTGTTTATGCTCTGAGAAGGTTGCAAGTACCCAGTTTAATCCCCACAGCCTGCACTCTGGGTCCCTGAGCAAGACCCTTAACCCCACACTGCTCCCTGGGCACCACACAATGGTACCCCACTGCTCCCCAAGGCAATGGGTTAAATGCAGAGTTAATTTCCCCATTGTGGGACAATAAAGGGATTTACATTTTAAACAGAGTAGCTCTTTTACAGTATGAAACTCAGGAGTATAAAGTGTCAAAGATGTCCATCCTCTTGGACTCACCTCATCTATCTCACAGAGAACCACAGACTCCACCAGAGGATGCTTCACCACCTCCCTCAACACGCCCCCGTCTCCCCCACCGATGATCAGCACCTGGAGAAACAGAGGAGAGCTCGTGGTTGATGGTTCCTGCCGTGACATGCAGACCTGGATCATCCTGAGTGAAATATCAATTCATTGAGTTGCACAACTGCTAGTAGGAGGTACCTTCTTGGGGCCCGGGTGGCTGCATAGAGGAAGGTTGGCTATCATTTCCTGATAGGCGAACTCATCCCTCTCCGTGCACTGTATTACCCCATCCAGCACCAACACGTTTCCATAAGTTTTACTGGAAAATACGAGAGAAATACAGTGAAGGGCTTCATGTGCAATTCTCTAAAGAGCTGATTTAAATAGAAAGGTAACTGCTTAAGATAAGACATAATTTATAATCAACGATATTCATTCATTTGAGAAAGAAAACTCATTGATTGATAGAGGCTAAATGGATCGAGCTATGATTTTCTCAATCACTGCTTGTTAACTGGAGCTAACAGCTATTAGCCACAGATGCAAAGCTAAAACACTTACCTCTTGAAAACCATAACATCTTGAAATTTGGACTTCTTGTGGTAGAGAACCTCCTCTACCTGCAGGCTCATCGCCTGGCCCGGCCACATAGCGCAGGACTCCGTAAACCAGCCATCCTTAATGTGGTCCATGACAGCTGTACACAGCCACAGGTAGGAACGCCAGAAGGGGAGCAACGTGAGCGACTTGAGACTACAAAGCCCATAGCGACATCCAAACATGCTGTCTTTAATTTGCGACCAATAGGATGAGGCTGACGTAACAAATTGAACTGTTGGGGCCTATAGTACGGCAGCATGCCCCGCCTAGTGTGTAGTTTGCTTGACGTGGCACCTTTGGCACCGCCCTGAGATCCACGTTAGGGATGGGAATTCCGACGAATCCTGAGAGCCAATTCATCTGGCTTAGATTCCAAACGAGTCTTTACTTTTTTTTTTTAACACCATTTAATTATTTTTTTTATATATATATAAAAAAATAAAAGCTGAAGGACTGATAAAGTTTGTCTAAGTCTAAGATGTTTCTATAATCTATTTTTATCTTTTGTCTTTTGATCTTTTTCGTTTTTACTGCAGCTGTAGCAGTGTTAAAGTATTGTTTTATAATTTAGGAAAAGTGCATTTCCTTCCACTGCTCATAGGGATACTTCACCATTCATAACCCAATCACGATGTCTGTTCCTAGCAAGCATATAATTACACAAAGAAACAATGTGACAAGATCCAAAATCCAAATACAAAGCAGAGTACAGAAAACAAATAGTTGGTACCCCTTGTTTTATGAAAGAAAAAGCACACAATGGTCACAGAAATAACTTCCATGTAACAAACGTAAAAAGTTAATTACACTTGAGTTGTAATCAGTCAGTGGTCATATACTAATAAATATATATATATATATATATATATATATATATATATATATATATATATATATATATA